TCAATTGCGTGGGCAGGCCCCCCCCCCCCCCCCGCGATGAGTCGCGTCGCGGAGTTCCCCCCCCCTCCTCGGCATCGCCAGCGACGAGCGTGTCTTTGTCCGGCTGCTCCGTCTACCTGGGGGCGTTGCGAGGTGCGTCGATTTCCTTGGGCTTGGCAAATCGCGTGGCCCCACAGTTCGATCTCTTGGACGTGCGGCGCGAACTGCTCTTGTCAGATCGGCGATATGCACTCGCCCCGAGCGTGCGGCGACGTTGGGGACGTTCCGCCACGTGGCCGGGAGATTCGTCGACCGCAGGGCACTCGGAGACCCCGCTGACAAGTTGCCCTCGTCGCGCTTGCTCTCTTATGCGCATGTTGAGCATGTGGATGCCGCGAGTTCGGAGAGCCCCCCAAGTAGCGGCGGCTGCCAGGGGCTTCGCCGGCGACCGCCCGAGGGCGCAGACAGGGGTCGGAAGCGCGGGTGCCGGCCGCTTGCAAGGCCACGATGGACAGCGGCGCCATTTCCTGCTCCGACAACTCGCCGCATGTCGCCGCCAGTGCCAGAATATTGTCAAATTGGCTTCCCGAGCGGCTCGGCGGCGTCAAAGGTATGGAAAGGTCGGACGTTCAGGCAGCCATGGAGATATTGCCCGTCGCGCGGGCGTCCGGCGCGCTGAGATCCTGCCTTGGTGGGCGGCTTGCCTCCTGCAGAGCTCTCTCTCTCCTGGTGGCTAGAGGTCCTGTATGCTTGGCCGTGGAAACATGCGTGGCAAATTTGGCCATTGCATCAGTTGCATCGGTCTGAGCTGGGCTATGTCGATGGCTAAATCTGGGGGCCGTATTCTTCTTCCTGCCGATCTTCCGGCCAGATGAGACACCGTCGGCGTTTCCGAGCAGGGCTTTGCGCGTGCCCAGCCAGCGATCAAGATCAATCGCGGGCGCGGGCCTCCTCGCGACTGCCCGTGGCGCGTTGATGTCTCGCGGCCTCGCTGCCCCGCCCATCCGCGTGGCGCGCGGGAAGCCGGGCGAGAAGAATGATGTGTCGTCGTCTGGCAGGCTTCCCGTGCCACTTCGCATGGTCTCAAGTTGTGCGGATGTGCCCGATTGCGAGGGCTGTGCCCGCCTGACATGCCTGCTATATCGGTAGATGGCGAGTTGACGCCGAGCGCGCTCCGTCAAGACGAAATCGCAATGACCGTATTCTGTGGTTGGAGTGGTGCATGCCGTTCGCGAATGCGTAGCTGAGGCGAGCCGAGTGCGACCGCGTCGTTCTCCGGCGCGGACAACGGTTCGCACGTGGACGTGTGGGTGATTATTGCCGTTAAGCTGCGCAACGAAGCGTCGCGACTGTGTCAGCGACGTCGCAATGCGCTGTCGGACAGTCTGCCTGCCGCGGCGGCAGCGGCGCGGACGGCGGAACTATGCGACGCCGCAGGTCTTACAACGAATCCCGTGCCTGGTATCCTGTTGGTGGCCTTTTCCTTCAGGGGCTTCTGCGGGTTGGCATTTGCTCATTCTAGCAGCTGTTTCAGAATCAGTGCTTCGACCCTGCCCGCGGCGATCGCCGTGGCCGGGTCTCTTCAGAATCCAGCTCCTGTTCCCGTCCGCCTCCAAACGCGCGTGGTGCGGCGTCGTCTCTTACGGCTGGTCCCTCTTCGCGCGGGGCGAGTATCTTTGTTTTTCTCCGCGTGCTTCCGCCCTAGTGTGCTCGCCCTGTCAATGCAGCTGTTGGCTCGTCCAGGGATCGCCGCCCGCTCTGCGGGGGGCGGGTGCTCTTCCGAAGCGGCACCCAACGGGCGTTTATGCCCGCGGTCTTTTCTTCGTCGGAGCTATCGGCGGGGCGGCCCGCTGGATCCCATCGAGGCTTTGCGTCGACCTCGGGTTTATGGTTTCTTTGCGCGGCGATGGTGGTCGCTCCCGTGTGCTAGCGCACGCGCCATCTATCGACGAGCTCAGTTCCTTCTTCCCTCGCCTGCATCGTGGACTCGCACGTTGGCGCCAGCGAGTGATGGCACTTGCTGAGATCGGTTTTGCTCGGGGAACCACCGCTCGGGGAATCGCTGCGCGCGTGTTCCTTTCCGCCTCGACGCCAGTCATCCTGCAGGCGTTGCTGGCAAAGTCGAGGCTTTCAGTTTGAGGGCCCATTATCTTCGTCTTCTTCGCAGCTTCCCCAGGTCGGACATGAGCGAGGCGTCTGGCGACGGGGCATCGTTGCCCCTCCCCCCGCCATGCGGGCGACGGGCGAGCGACCCCGGCGGCCCTCCCCGAGCGAGGCGCTGCTGAAACCAGACGTGCCATCCATTGCCTTCAGTGGCACGCATGGCTTGGGTTCTTTCTGGCGGAAAAGTTTGGCGAGACTGCGACGACTGGGCCGACTGGTGGGGCCCGTCTGGTCACGCTTTTCGACGTGCCGCACCGCGTCGAGCTTCGCTGCAGGGCGTCGCGTGTTCCGATCAGGACGCGGGGCTCAGGGCGCGCGTTCTCGACGCGCGGGGCTGTCTGGTCTCGCGCGGATCGACGACGGCGCGTGGAGTTGATGGCTAGCCTCCGTCCATGGGCTGTGGCTGCGAGCAGCTGATCATCGCTGCCAGCAGTTTCCGCTCAGGCGCATCCAAGTGCAGACCGAGGGTCCCCCGAGCCCGTCGAGAGGCCCGCTGCCAGGGTCGTCGAGAAGCGTCCGCGATGGGCTCCAGCCGCCGTTTCAAAACGCTGCGGGCGGCGGCGCCAATCCGCCGCCCGCACCTCCGCCTCCTGGCGTCTCGGGCGGCGAAGCTGCGCCGGGTGCAGAAGATGACGGCATTCTGATGGTCGCCCGCGCGGTTGGCCAGCGGAGCTCCAGCGTCCGCATCGAGGTTCTGCTGCTTGAAGCCCGTGGCGCAAGTGAAGACGACCCCGCCCGCAGAGCGGATCGCGCAAGGCGCGAATTCACCGAGCGCGCAGCAGCATGGGCCGCGTTTTGGGTTCCATTTAGCGGATCAGGTTGACAGCTTCTGCACTTGGCTCGGCCGGTGCATTGTTTCTGTTTTCGGCGTGCTCCGTCACCGGCAGTTCACGCCGCTCGTGGGAGAGGCTACGAGAAGAGTTGATGACAGACGCAGACGCGCAGCTGAATGTATATATTTGTCCGCGTGGCGCGCCTAAGCTATCGCCGGGTAGCAGCCGCGATGTCTTCCACGGGCCAGACTCCCCGGTAGGGATCCAGCGGGTATCCGCCTGGCCAGACGGAGTGCAACGGGGCGCGTGGCGATGCTGCAATGGCCCCCCCCCCAGGCCCCTCGAGGGTGCCATTCCACCTTCGTGCGCGGCTTCTCCGTTGGATTGGCCGCGGGTTTGCCCGTCCTCGCCCTGCTCGCGCGATTCCCAGCCTGCGAGCCGCGTTGGAAGACGCACCGCGCGACGTGGATAGGTTGGGCGTCGGCTCGAACGACATTCGCTCCATCCCGTCGCCAGGCGACTCGCCTTCGCGCCTCTCGCTCTCTCTCGCCGCGCGGCGCGTCCGTGACCTGGCCGCGCCTCGAGCGCCATCTCCTACTGAGGCGGGCCTGGAGGCAATGGCTGAACTAGTGGAGGACATCTTCCCCCCCGAGTTCGAGGATGATGCCATGTCTAGTCAGGAGTTTGACTACGACTTCAACGATGCCGGGAGCATGGTTCACTGGGCGCGACTGCGGCTGTCTCTCCGTGGGGGACAGGTAGCTCCAATGATCGTGTGCTTCCTCACCATGGTAGCTCACCACCTGATGATATGACAACGGAGCTCGGTTTGATTGGCGCGGACGATGGCAGACTGTCGGTTCCAATCTTGGGTGCCTCCAACGCTGCCTTTGCTCATTCCGTGCCTGCTGACGATGTTCTTCTTCTGGTTGCAGACGAATGTGGCCCCATCGCGTCCCGCCAACCTGCAGCGCCAGTCCCTGCTGCACATTTTGGGTTGCATGACCGAGAGAGAGAGAGAGAGAGAGAGAGAACAGCATGCATCAATCTACAGGTGAGCTTGTGTACGATTAGTCGTCAATTTCGATGCGGCGGCATCTGCTGAACTGGGCGCTTTCTCTGGGCTCTATCCCGGCGGGCCGATGGCAGGCACTCTTCGCATGGCGCACCAGCCCTCTCCTCTGCAGCGGGCGCGCTGTATTTTCCAGCGGGAGATGACAGTCTGATATCACCAGCTGGCGAGATGGACAATCTTACTTCGGATGGCCTTGCATTTCCAGATTTCTTTGTCGCTGAGCCTGAACCACCTGCTAAAGGAGACGCCTTCAACATGCTGATGGTGCCCGTGCCCGCGAGCCCCCGCGATGACTTCTCGCTGGCGGACATGGTGGATGGACACGCAGAGCTTCCCAAGTTGTTTGGCACTGCTGATACTAGAGCTATTTGAATCGGTCTGGTGAACATGCATGCAACAGTTCTGGAAGGAGCTGAAGCAGACGATCTTGCTCATGAGTCGGCAACTCCTGATTCTAACGAGGGTGACCTTGTCGTGGCGATGCCAGCTGATGCTTCTTCCTCGGCAATTTGGCTATTTTCGAGCCGACAACCACGTGACGTCCAGATGGTGGGCGTGGACCAGATGGGATGTGATCTGGGCGCCACGTTTGCTGCTGGCCCCTCTGACGGCCCTGCTGTCGCAGCCGCTGAGGGGTCGGAAAGTGCCTTGACATTGATTTCAACAGCTCCCCCTCCTTGCCCCGCAACTGCGCTGGCATGGGTGCGAGTTTTGGCCCCGCGCGTTCCGCGGGCGGCTCCGACGGCTCTGTTTCTCCTCCTCCTCCTCCTCCTCCTCCTGCTCCCTCTCCTTCTCCTCTTCCTATTTCTCCTGTTCCTGCTCTTCCCCGATCCCTTCCTCCTCCTGTCGATTTCCTTGTGCTCCCCCTCCTCCTCCATCTTTTCCTCCCCTCTCCGGGCCGCCCCCTGGTCATAGGGGGACCTCGCCTCTGCCAGGGGTGGCTCATGACTACGGGCTTCAAGCAGCAGGAGGGCGCTACGTCGCAGGGCGCGGGGAAGTGCGGCGAGGGCATGCTGGCCGGCGGCGGGGAGGGATGGTTTTTTCCTCCCCTTCTACCTCCTCTTCCACCTGGTCCTCCTCCTCCTCCTCCTCCTCCTCCACCTCGATCTCCTCCTCCTCGATCTCCTCCTCCTCGATCTCCTCCTCCTCGATCTTCTCCTCCTCCTCGATCTCCTCCTCCTCCTCCTCCTCCTCCTCCTCTTTGCCTCCTCCTCCTCCTCCTCCTCCTCTCTGCCTTCTTCTCCCCCTTACTCCTCTTCTCTGCTCCCTTTCCTCCTCCTCTTTCCCCTCTGCGTCAGTTCCACTTTCTCCTACTCGTCCTCGACCTCCTCCTCCCCCTCCTCCTCCCCCTCCTCCTCCAGTCCTGCTGATCGCTGTTCCTTGGTTGATATGGATCCGTGGGCTGGCGCGCGCGGACTCGCTGGTGGTTCGCAGGGCGCGCTCAGCGGTTTCGGAATGTTTCACTGGTCCCTTTTCTGGACCTGGGTCTTTGGGCCCAGGCCGACTCTTGACCCTTGTCTGCCCGACCTCCTCCTCCCCATCCTCTTTATCATTCTCATTACCATCATCATCATCATCATCATCATCATCATCATCATCACCATCATCATCATCATCATCAGCATCATCATCACCAGCATCATCATCATCATCATCATCATCATCATCATCATCATCATCACCATCACCATCACCATCATCGTCATCACCACCATCACCAGCACCATCACTATCACCACCACCATCACCATCATCACGGTGCCGTGTTGGGGAAGCGGGTGTGTGTTGACGCACAACCTGCTGGCTACACCCCACTGCGAGCCAGAATCAGCGCCCGCCTCAGGGGGTAGCCATGGCAGTATCGGCACTGGCCCCGCTCCGCACACTCAGCGCCCAGGCCAACAAAAAAAACCTCACCGCGTGCGCCCGCAGCGGACCACCCGCCGCGTGCGTGACGCCCCTGCGGCGCAGAGGGCTTGGGGCGGAGGCGGTCCTCATTGTGACTGCTGTCTTGGGGGGGGAGAAAAGGGCTGAGCGATGCGGGAGGAGACGAGCCTCGAGGTTCCGAGTCGCCACGAAAGTCACAAGTCCCGGGAAGCCGATGGGTGCCCTCGACCCAAACTTCATGTTGCCTTCTTAGATCCCAGATCGGTCCGCGATGAGTCCCAATGCTCGAAGGGTGGGGCGAGTACTCCCATCGTGGTGCGTCATCCCTTCACAGCGCCAAACTATTAGGGCAGGGAGGAAGCTGACGAACTGGAGAAGGAAAAAGAGGAGGAAGAAGAGGCACAGCACATGTTGTAAAGCATTGTTCTTGGTTAAACATCAAGCAGCATTGAGAGACACTTCGCGAGACAGTCACCAGCAAGTGACAAGTATTTCTATTACACTCGAGAGCTGACAAGTCAGAAGTGCCTCGCTGTCACGCCGCGCAGCGTGATCCCACGATGGGTAGTGTGCAGTCCCCCGGACGAGCGCTGAGAGCGGGGCTCCGACACTCGAAAGCAAGCCACACCCCTCGTTCTGGCGACTCCTGGCCAGGCGCAGGTCAACACAGCAGAACCTGATCACAGCAAGGGGCATGGTGGAAGAATTTGCTCCTCCCCCTCCTCCTCCTCCTCCTCCTCCTCCTCCTCCTCCTCCTCCTCCTCCAGTTCTCCTCCCTCCTCCCTCCTCCCCCCTCATCCTCGTCCTCCTCCTCCTCGTCCTCCTCCTCCTCCTCCTCCTCCTCCTCCTCCTCCTCCGTCACCACTTGGGATGTGGACATCCGGCATCGTGCCATATGACTGCGGCGATAGAGAGCACGCACCCGAGCTCACAGAGGCAGCGCAGCCTGCTTCAACTAGTGTCAGCGGTGCAGTGCTCGGGGCCACGGGGGGCCACGCAATCCATGTCAACCATGGGTAGAACAGCGAGACGATGAAGCAGAAGTGCTTCACGAGGTACCCGATGGGGGCGGAGGAGCTGAGGGCTTGCGTCCGCCCCACACGCTGTGCAGCCAGCTGCCCGCGGCGCCAGCGGCTGCGCGCGCTCTCGGGCCACGTGCCGTCGAGGGGCCGCACATGCTGGGGGGCGGCCCGCGCACGGGGCCAGGCAAATGACCGCCGTCATCGGGGGGGGGGCGCTGCGGCGAGCGTCATCCCCAGGCCTTAGGGCCTCGAGCTTGAGCCAGAGTGGCCTTTACCTCTAAGAACTCATTCCTCCTCCTCCTCCTCCTCCTCCTCCTCCTCCTCCTCCCCCTCCTCCTCCTCCTCCTCCTCCTCCTCCTCCTCCTCCTCCTCCTCCTCCTCCTCCCCCTCCTTTCCCTCTTCCTCCTCCTCCTCCTCCTCCTCGCTATGAGAACTCTGGGGTCACACCCGTCGTCGACGGGGATCCTTGCACGGTGCCCCAGGGCTCCGCGGGCCCCCAAGGGGGCTGAGCACTGCCTTCGCGTGGGGCGCCCCTGGACAGGCCAGCTTCTCAGGTGGTGCGCCTGAGATGCGCCGCCCCTCTCCTCGGCCGACGTGTCCGTCTGGGGGCCCGAGGTTCGGAGGAGGAAAAGGTACCCATACCGCTACCTTTCCCTCGTTCTCCCCTTTCTGGGCCTCCTGGGAGGCCCTTGCTGCCACCGCTGGATCCGCCTTGGTCAGGACGCACCCCAGGAGAGGTCCGGGGAGAGCGGTATCGGTACCTTTTGGTTTCCCCAGAGGCCCCCGACCCGCCGTGAGCATAGACAGCGGCGCTGGTGCCTTGCCGCTGTGCAAGATCTTCCGAGCTGTGCACGCCTCTGGGCGCCTCGGGAAGACGCCCACAGGCCGCCCCGCTCTCGGGGCCCAGAGCCCCTGCGGGCCGACCCGGCTCGAGAAGTCCCGCAGAGCGAGGGGGTCGTGGCTCTGGTCGTGATTTGTTCGCACGACAAATGACGACCAGAGCCACGACCCCCTCGCTCTGCGGGACTGCTCGAGCCGGGTCGGCCCGCAAGGGCTCCGGGCCCCGAGAGCGGGGCGGGGCGGCCATCTCTGCGTGGGGTCTTCGGTGCTGGGTCGGTCTGCGCGGTCACCTGCGGGGGCGCGAGGAGAGCCGACTTTCTCCGGGGGCGCGGCGCGAGAGGCGCGGAGGTTGTCGCGCTTCGCGCAGCGCGGAGCCCCACGCCAGAACGGTCAGGACCTTTGGCTTGGCGTGTCGCTCCGCCGGTTTTGGTCCACCGCGCTTCGGCGCGACACGATATCCACGTCCCCATTCCCGTGCGTCAACGTCCCGAGCTTTGCCCAGCCTGCTGCCCTGCGGAGCGGGGCGACACGCCATCCGCTTGCAAGGCACAGCGTGTCGCCGGGGCCGCCGCCGCGACACGGCATCCAAAAGTTCCTGACCGTACGACCTCCGTGCCGAGTCGATCTACGAGGGCCTCGCGGCCCCAAAGTGCACCCGTGGTCATCGCTTCGGAGTGGCCTTCCGCCGCATCTCCGCTCTGTGGCGCTGGCGGCCGGGCAGGCCTGGTGGCTGGCCACGCCTACTCCGTGCTGAAGGTCGTGGAGGCTGCCGGCAACCGCCTCGTGTGCTGCCGCAGCCTCGGACGATCGATCTGTTGTCTGGGGCTCGATCTGGGCACCTTTCTCTGGCCGGCACGGCCGGCACGTCGATCGGCCAGGGTCAAGGTAGCGGTCGGGACCTGGCGTGCTCCGCGCTTTGGGATCGGTCGGGCCAGGGATCGAGCTGTGGATCGCCATGCGGGGCGCGGGAGACGGAGGGAGGGGGGAGGTGGGCAAGGAGAAGGGGGTAGAGGAGTCTGAGGAGGAGGAGGAGGAGGAGGAGGAGGAGGAGGAGAAGGAGTCATTCGGCAGAGGAGGAGGAGGAGGAGAAGGAGGAGGAGGTGGAGGAGGAGCAGGAAAAGGGAGGAGGAGGTATGAGGGCGGAGGGCGGAGAACTGGAGGAGAGCGAGGAGGAGGAGGAGGAGGAGGAGGAGAAGGATGATGATGAGTCTCTCGGTATAGTCGAAAAGCCGGGCCCTGCCAGATACAGCGGCAGGGCTGGAATGGTGAGAGTCCCACGCACTGGTCTTACAGCCCCTTGGCCAAGGCCATCTCAATCTTCGGCCGTAGCACGTGGCAACACCATGAGTTTGACCGGGGATGGCCATCGATCTTCCGGCAGAGGCTTCAGGCGAAGTGTGTGCGGCGCCCGAGCCAGAGCACGAAGGGCCACCTTTCTGCCCGTGACGATTTTGAACATGAGTCGCCTTGCGTCAGTGTGACGCTTGTACATGTCAAGCTCCAGGGTTGTTGGCTGCTGCGCTGTGCCCGACGAGAGCTCGGCCTCGGGAAAGCATTCAATCTTTGTGCGTGTAGGATCGGCTTGGACATGCAATCGCCCCATCCGTGCAATTGATTGACACGTCACCTCCGAGGACAAAACTAGATCACTGGACAGCTCGCCCCTTAGCCCCTGACCAGTCCCACGCCACGGTGCGAGCATTTATATATATGTATATATATACACATCTATCTATCTATCTATCTATCTATCTAGCTATCTATATCTATCTATCTATCTATCTATCTATCTATCTATCTATCTATCTATCTATCTATCTATATATCTATCTATATATCTATCTCTCTATCTATATCTCTATATATTTATGTCTTTTTATATATATATATCTATAAATATCTCTATCTATCTATCTATCTATAGATATCTCTCTATCTCTCTATATATATATGTATCCATAGATATATACGGGCGCAACACCGCGCTTGATGTGTGACATTGCCTGGGTTCTTCAGTCGAGGACCCAATGCTGCATCGCGCGTCGTGGGGATGCCGGCGCTGAGCGCAAGGCCATTGCCCTCCCTCCTCATCCTCCCTTCCCTTCCTCCTCCGTCCATCTACCACCTCAGCCCTCTCCAGTCATCCGTCATCCTCGTCCTCCTCCCTCGCCCTTCCCCCCTCACTTCCTAAAGTGTTAGTGAAATATCCTCACCCCCTGGTCTGAAACTGCCAGTCAAATATCCTCACTCCCCTGGCCTAAAACTGCCAGCGATCCATCCTTACCCACCTGTAGCAAAACTGCCAGTGAAGTATCCTCGGCCACAGGAGATAAGGAACTGCCAGCAGAAAATCCTCCCCCCCTGGCGTAAAACTGCCAGCGAAATCTCCTCAAGCTCCGGGCCTAAAGCTGCCAGCGAAATAACCTCAGGCCCCTGGCCTAAAATTGCCAGCCAAATATCCTCACCCCCCCCTGCCTAAAACTGCCAGCGGAATTTCCTCAGGCCCCTGGCTTACAACTGCCAGCGAAGAATCCTCACCCCCCTGGCCTAAAACTGCCAGCGACATATCCTCACGCACAGGAGATAAAACTGCCAGCGTAATGTCGTAACTACCGGCCTAAAACTGCCAGCGAAATATCCTCAGCCCCTTGGCCTAACACTTCCGTCGAAATATCCTCACCCCCATGGCCTAAACCTGCCAACGAACTGTCCTCAATCCCCTGGCGTGAACTTGCTAGCCAGCCGTGGCCTAAAACTGCCAGCGAAGTATCCTCACCTCCTTGGCCTAAAACTGTCAGCGACATTTCCTCACCCACCAGCGTAAAACTGCCAGCGAAGTATCCCCACCCACGGGAGATAAAACTGACATCGAAACATCCTCACCTCCCTGGCCTAAAACTGCCATCGAAATATCCTCAGCCCCCTGGCCTACAACTGCCAGCGAAATACCCTTACCCCGCTGGCCTAAAACTGCCAGCAATCCATCCTCACCCCCCTTGCGCAAAACTGCCAGTGAAATATCCTCACCCCAATTGCCTAAACGTGCCAGCGAAATATCCTTACACCCCCGGCGTAAGATTGTCAGCCGCATATCCTCACCCCCCTGGCCTAAAATTGCCATCGAAATATCCGCACCACCGTTGTCTAAAACTGCCACTGAAATATCCTCACCCTCCTGGCCTAACCTGTCAGTGAAATATCCTCAATCCCCTGACGTAAAACTGCTGGCGAAATATCCTCAGTCACAGGAGATAGAACTGCCAACGAACTATCCTGACCCCCCTGGCCTAAAACTGCCAGCGAAGTATCCTCAAGCCCTTGGCCTAAAACTGCCAGCGAAGTATCCTCGAGCCACTTGCGTAAAGCTGCCAGCACAACATCCTCACCCCTCTGGCCTAAAACTGCCAGCGAAATATCCTCAGCCTTCGGAGATAAAACTGCCATCTAAATAAGTTCAGTCAGTCAGTTGGCGAAATTCACATTACGGGCTGCGCCCGTAAATGAGGAAGTCATGAGCGAGAGTCCGGTTGTACAAATGACCCGTCCCCCATGAGTGCGACCGTGTGATATGTCACGTTCCAGATCACTAACTGTAAGGAAGTCTCAGGCGACAGCCCAATGTCGAAAGCAACCCGCGATTCATGTAATTGTATGCAATTGTGTACGCTTGCTTGCCGTAGCATCACAAAGTAAGTATCCAGCGGTAACCGGATACAGTCAAATCATTTGCCCTCTTCTCGCCTGGCTGCTTAAATGTTCAAGCTCTTGGACCACAGTGCGTGAGCAAGCGTCAGGCACGATTTTCGGACCACCCTACTGACACGTCTGACGGTTCGACGAGGATAAGTAATCTGGACGGAAGAGTGATGTAGAACAGGAGGCGGAGGAGGAGGAGGAGGAGGAGCAGGAGGCGGAGGAAACAAAGGATGAAGCAGAAGATGCTGATGCTGATGCTTATGATGCTGATGATGATGTCGATGCTGATGATGATGACGATGCTGATGATGCTGATGATGATGATGATGCTGATACTGATGATGCTGTTCATCCTGATGCCGATGCTGCTGATGATGATGCTGATGATGATGATGATGATCATCATCATGATGCTGCTGCTAATGATGATGATGATGATCATGGTGATGATTATGTTGATGCTGATGTTGATGATGATGGGATGATGATGATCATGATGCTGCTGTTGCTGCTGATGGTGATGATGAGTATGATGAGGAGGAATCGTAGTGAGGAGCAGGGATCAATGTAAACCAACAGCTCACCAATTGTAGTGCAATAAGCCCTTCTTTCAAGTTCACGTGTCCCGCAGGAAGAGAACCGTTTGAACATCGGGAGCTGTGCCAGAACATTATTCCTGGGACTTTAACGTCGCGAATCACCTTTACTCTTGCGTCTTGACGGTCCTGAACCACGCAAGAACACCGTTCCTGGGATTTCACACCGCGAATCAACGTGACTGTTGCGCCCTGACATTCTGACATCGTGCCGACACACCACTGCCTGGACGTTAACCATGGGATTCCTTGAAACCCTTACAAGCTCTTAAGAAGACGAGTGCGCGCGGCGCTACGGCGAGAGACACATTTTGAACAGGCGCCGATGTTCATCAGTAAGCTCTTGCAGAGGAATGTTCGCGGCGCAAGGCGAGAGCCACATTTTGAATTCGGCCCTCCCTCCATCCGTCAAGCTCTGGCAAGCTTTTAAGACGAATGTGCGCGGCGCTGAAGCGAGAGCCACATTTTGAAATCGGCCCGCCCTCCATCCGTACAACTCTGGCAATTTTCCGTACCCTCCCTTGGTTGGGTTCTCGTTCTGAATAGGTCAGTGGGGTGCCAACTCCTTTCTCCTTCTCCCGCCCTCTGTCCCCCTCTCGCCTGCCTGCACCTGCCTGCTTGCATCCCGCTTGGGGTCCGCGAAATGTGAAACTGTCGCCGCTTTCGATGGTTGCTGGGGGGGACAGCGTAGTGGGTGCCGACGGCAGATTCAAATTCGACCTCGACACCCCTGGGGGCGGCGATCTGCGAAACCGTCGCTACTTTAGAGGGCTGCTGGGGGGGGGGGGGGACCGCATTGTGGGTGCCGACGGCAGATTCAAATTAGACCTCGACGCCCCTTGGGGCGGCGATCTGCGAAGCCGTCGCTACTTTTGAGGGCTGCTGGGGGGGGGGGGGGCAGCATTGTGGGTGCCGACGGCAGATTCAAATTTGACCTCGACATCCTTGGCGGGCTGCGGAGTGTGAACCTGTCGCCACTTTGATGGGCTGCTGGGGGGGCAGCATTTTGGGCGCCGACGGCAGGTTCAAGTTAGACGTCGACATCCCTTGGGTCTGCGATCTACGAAACTGTCGCCTCTTTCGAGAGCTGCTGGGGGGGCCAGCATAGTGGGTGCCGACGGCAGACATATTCAAATTAGACCTCGACACCCCTTGGGGCGCCACTTTCGAGGCTTGCGGGGGGTGGGTGGGCGGAGGGGCACCATGGTTCGGGCGAAGAGAACTATGCACATGCACCGATCCTGACAAAGTCCATCCTTGACCCAGGATCGGTGCATATACCTTCCTGGCCAAGGTAAGAGGGCGTATGCACCGATCCTGGGCTCAGGATGGGCCTGGCCAGAGTCGGTGTATGTGCATAGTTCTCTTTCCTCTAATGGTGGGTGCCGAAGGGGGGGAAGGAGGGAATTGGAGGGAGGCAGGGAGGGAGAGAGGGAGGAATTGAAGGGAATTGGGGGGAGGGAGGGAATTGGAGGGAGGGAATTGGAGGGAGGGAATTGGAGGGAGGGAGGAATTGGAGGGAGGGAGGGCTTTGGAGGGAGGCATGGAGGGGAAAGTCCCAGCGGTGCGCGCCGCCCGATCTCGCGGGGCACGGCCCGGGGCCGAGGCCGCAACCCGTGGGGCACCGGCGAGTGGACCGGCAGGCGGCGCCGCCGCCCTGCCCCCTCCGCGCGCGCGCGTCCAGGCTCTGCCCTGCTGCCCCCTTCTCGGGTGCTGCAAGAAGTGCCCCTGGCCTTGTGGAAACATGTTTAGAGCATGCTTTACACATGTTCAACACATTTTAAATTCAACGACAGGACTGTTAGGGTGTCCATCGTCGTGGCGTCCACAACCCTGCCCTCTCCGCGCGCGCGTGTCCAGGCTCTGCCCTGCTGCCCCCTTCTCGGGTGCTGCTAGAAGTCTGGAGGTCGATAATTAGGCCTCCCACCCTGACGCGTCGATTAGCGAATTGGCCGTTTTCGGTTCGCGAGAGGGCATCGAAGTGTTCCCCCTTCTCGGGTTTTCGGTTCGCGAGAGGTTTTCGGTTTTCGGTTCCCCCTTCTCGGGTGCTGCCAGAAGTGCCCCTAGCCTTTGTGGGCCCCGGAAACGGCAGGGCCGTGTTTTCACCGTTTCCAAGAAAATGTGCCTTGAGAGTGGAAGCGGCAAAAAAAAAACGGCGACCAGAAACGGCAAAAAAACGGCTCCAGGATTGGAACCGGAGCCGGAACCAGTAAAACAACGGCGACGGAATTGGTAACAAAAACGGCGTCGAAACCAGCAACAAAAACTGCAAAACGGAACCGGTAAAACAACGGCCCTGTCTTTTCCAGGGCCCACTAAGCCCCTGGCCTTGTGGAAGTCGATTGATGGAGAGGAGGCATGCTGCCAAATAATTTCCAGATGTCTAAACCATGTGTTAGACATGTTTTAACCATGTCAAAAGATGTTAAACAAAAAACATGTTAAGAACATGTTTTCCAACATTCTCAACACATGTTCAATTCAATGGTAGGACTGTTGGGGTGTCCATTGTCGTGGCATCCACAACCCTGGCCCAAGGTGCCACCAGGATTTCCAAGGAGGCCCCCCACGGCCTCCAGAGCACCTCTCACGAGGCTCCGAGGGGCCCAAAGGGGCTCCAGAAAAGGGAGCGGAAAAGCGGGGCCACCTCGTGCCAGGGGCACCTTCCAGCAGCCCCCGACCCCTTCTTCAAGACGCAGGAGGGCCGGTCGAGACGGCGGCGGCTCCCTCGGCGTCTGCCGTGCTCGTTGGGGCTCCTGGAGGCTCCTCGGCGCCACGGCCGGATCCGCTTCGAAGAGCGCGTCGGGCTGAGCCCGGGAGGAGGCGCGGGGGCCAATTGTGAGCAGATCTGGGCCGAGCGGGAGAGCCGCCGTGGCCTCGACTGGGCCTCCTCCGATCAAGCCGCACCGTGAGAGTCGGCGGGCATCCTTAGCTTTCCTTCTCCCCTCTCTGTGTCGCACCGTCCCCGCGTCATAGGATTCGTTTGTTTCGCTCCAGTTTCGGACCCCCGCCTTTCTGAGAGTTCCCAGGGGGCTCTCAAGGAGCTGTAAGGGAACCGCACTCTTTTCGAACTCAGTGGCACTCCGTCGTTGCGACGGGATTCCACGCCGTGCGAATGGAGTCGCACTCCCTCCAACTCTGTTCCGCTCCTCCCCTGGGGGGACGGGGAGACGGGAGCAGGAGCTCCATGTGAGCGACGCAAAAAAAAGGGTCGTCTGCGCCGACATTCTCGCGTAAGCTGCTCGCGTCAGGTCGCGCGCATGCGCGCTCGCTTCAAATTTCGCTTGCTGCGCTGGTGGCCCGCGAAAGCCGTGGCGTACGGTCGCTATGCTACTCTCTCGTGAGACCCGTCTTCGATCGTCGCTCGTGTGGCACCTGAGGCGCGCGCCCAGAAGCTCCGGCATCCGTGGCGCGGACCGCCCGTGACAGGGGGGTGCCTCTCCGGCCCGGGGGACCCCCCCGAGGCCTCAGGGGGGGGCCGCCAGGCACGCGCGCGGAGCATGCTGCAGACACAGCAGGGCGGAAGCCAAAGATCCCCCAGACTTGTGGAAGTCGATGAAGGGAGAGGAGGCATGCTGCCACATAATTTCCAGATGTCTGAAAGATGTGTCAAGCATGTTTTGCATGTGTAAAACATGTTTGAAACATTTTTAGAACATGTCTTACACATTTTAAACACACTTCTTATTCAATGATAGGATTGTTAGAGTGTCCATTGTCATGGCATCCACAACCCAGGACCCCCTCGCGCTGTGAAAAACACGACGGGAGTGTTTTGTCGCTATTTTCGGCCTCCGGGGGACCGGGACCGTCTGGATGAAAGAGCCGCCAGTCACGGGGAGGGGATCCCGACCTTTGGGGGTCGACGTAGTGAAAAAAAAACGCGACGCCGGGTGTCTGGGTCTGGCAAGCTTTTTGCTCGTTTGGCCAGCGAGTTCGATTCGTTTTGATGTACAGTCGGACCGAGGTATAAGGCCGAGGTCTGTTCAGGGAGGGTATCCTAGTGTTCCCCGTGTTTGTTGGATGTTCTTGTGCACCCTGAGGAGGGTGCCCTTGGATGTTCTGTTTGTTTTGACCGACGGAGGGTCTCATGTTCTTGAGGGAAGTTCTTCTGGCCAAGGTCCGACTGTAAGCATGTGTCCCTGGGCTCCCGCAGACGCAGAAGGGTCGTCACTCTTCCGCCCGTTGCTCGATACATGTGGTTACTTCCCGGCTCCCTCCTGCCGTGTGACCCTTTCCCGCCCTCCACTCCTCGATGCCCGCCTTCTCTGCATTCCTCCCAGTCATTGTTTTTGTTCACTTGTCTTTATTCCCGCCTTCAAGATGTCTTGTTGGATACGTAATCGGCGTTTTACCCCCAAGGTGGTCGGACGAGAACGCTTTCGGAGAGTGGACGGACGAGGTGAAGGAACTCACAGGCTACCAGGCGCTTGATGACGGGAAGTTCTGGATGAGCATCGAGGACGCAAGGGTTGGTTTCTCGGTGTCCTTTCGCAAACCGCGCCATGGGAATGCTGCGCTTTTCGCGAGGGCCAGTTTTGCATGGGGGTCGCATTAGGCCGCTGTTGCTGGAGTGGCCTGCTAGGTAAGGGCTGGCGGGGGTGTTCATTCTAATTGACGCTACAGTTATCGTGTTGCCCAGGCGGCCATCGAGTCGTTTCAGCATTCACTGGGCCACCTGGGACAGAGCGCGTTCTGTGGTCGCTTGGAGGGGGTGGAGGGGGTTTGGAACCGGACCCCCCTTCCTGGATGGAGGGGGGGGGTTCGACCCCCTCCCCCCGTGACGGAGGGATGGGGGGGGGTTCGAACCCCCCCCTCCCCCCTCCTTCCCCCCCTGCTTCCCCTCTCCTCAGGCCGACGCTGCACTTGTAGTTGTGGTGGTGGATTGTGCTGCTGGTAGTGGTGGTGGTTGTGGCGGTGGTGGTGGTGGTGTGGTAAGTTGTGTTGGTGGTGGTGTGGTGGTGGGATTTTGTGGTGGTGGTGGTGGTGGTGGTGGTGATGGTGAGTTGGGGTTGTGGTGGTGGTGGTGGTTTGGTGGTGGTGTGGCGGTGGTCTGTGGTAGTGGTGGTGGTGGGTTGTGGTTGCGGCGGTGATTTGTGGACGTTTGTGGTGCTGGTGCTGGTGGTGGTGGCGGTGGTGGTGGTGGTGGTGGTGGTGGTGTGGTAGTTTGTGGTGGTGGCGGTGGATTGTGGTGGTGGGTTTTTGTGGTGGTGGTGGTGGTGATGGTGAGTTGGGGTTGTGGTTGTGGTGGTGGTTTCGTGGTGGTTTCGTGGTGGTTGTGGCGATGGTTTGTGGTGGTGGTGGTGGTGGGTTGTGGTTGTGGCCGTGGTTTGCGGACGTTTGTGGTGCTGCTGGTGGTGGTGGTGGCGGTGGTGGTGGTGGTGGTGGTGTGGTGGTTTGTGGTGGTGGCGGTGGGTTGTGTTGGTGGTGGTGGTGGTGGTTGTGGTGGTGGTGGTGGTGGTGGTGTGGTAGATTGTGGTGGTGGTTGTAGTGGTGATGGTGAGTTGTGGTGATGGTGGTGGTTGTGGTGGTGTGGTGGTGGTGTTGTGGTGGTTTGTGGTGGCGGTGGTGGTGGTGGGTTGTGGTAGTGGCGGCGGTTTGTGGACGTTTGTTGTGGTGGTGGCGGTGGTGGTGGCGGTGGTGGTGGTGGCGGCGTGGTGGTTTGTGGTGGTGGCGGTGGGTTGTGCTGCTGGTAGAGGTGGTGGTCGTGGCGGTGGTGGTGGTGGTGTGGTAGATTGTGGTGGTGGTGGTAGTGGTGGTGGGTTTTTGTGGTGGTGGTGGTTGTGGTGATGGTGAGTTCTGGTGGTGGTTGTGGTGGTGGTGGTGGTGGTTGTGGCAGTGCTGGTGGTGGTGGTGGTGGTGGTGGGTTGAGGCGGTGGTGGTGGTGGTAGTGGTGGTGGTGGTGGTAGTGGTGGTAATCGTCGCTGCGTCCCCGTCGCCGCCAGCGCCGGCGCCGAGGGGGGGGGGTTGAACCCCCCCCCCCCGTGGGCTGCCTCTGGTCATCGTCGCTGCGTCCCCGCCGTGGGCGCTGCTCGCGGCCGCCAGCGCCGGCGCCAGCGCCGAGGGCCCCCCCCCCGCTCCCCAGGGGGGGGGGTTCGGGAGGGGGGGGGGTTTGGGGGGGAGGAGAGTTCCCCTGGTTTTGATTGACGGCGCCGAGTGTTGGAGGGGGGGGCCCACTCCCCGGTTCGAAACGCGCCGCCGAATGTTCCCAAGGCAAGCGCCCGTGAAACGCGTTCTCTCCAACCTGGGAAAACCCATATACCAGGTGGCTCTTCCTCTCCAAAGCATAACAATAGACGGGTCGGGCTAGAATTTTCGCAAACAGGACATGCGAAAGTATGCTTGACGCTATGCGTGCCCCAGTCAGCCCATCCAGAACAGATATCCAGGCTAGCTGTCGTAAGAAGGGTACCTGGGGAGCGCCTGTAAAACAACAAACGAGGGCATCAATGAAACCAAAGCTGGGGACAGCCCCAGCAGCCTCCAACGATGGTCATCCTGGAACCCTCTTGGAGGCATATGGGAGCACTTTCCGACCCTGACGGAACCCTCTCTCCGGTCTCTCAGGCCCTTGTGGGAGCCTGCTGGCACCTTGACAGTGGAAGCCATCCTGCAGTCAATCGTCGGAAAAGCGGTGTCGAGTAAGCCCCCCACGCATTCTCTGCATCACGTGAAATTGCATAGTGAGGCACTCTCGGAGCTCTCCCGACGTGGTCCTTTGCAGAGGCTTTGGGCCCTTCCTGGGGCCCTTCTGTGCCGTTCTTGGTGCTCTTTTCGGGTCATTTTAAGGTCCCAGGAGTCTGTCTACAGCCAAACTGCGCGAAAGCAACCATCACGGACACGAATCAGGTTTTTGATTCGTGTTGGGCGTTCGGGAGTATCCTTGGGAGGCTTCGCGGCCACCCTGAGCCGTCTTGTGGCGGTTTTGGGGCGCTTGGAGGCGGCATTCTGCACGCTGGATGCCATCCTCATCCATGTTGGACCAGCTTGCGCGATTTTGGATGCCACATCATGGGACCAGCTTGGACCAACTTTGACCATCCTGGACGCTCTGGCCGCTAGCGGGTGGGGTGGGGTGGGTTGGTGTGTATGTGTGTGTGGGGCAGCCAGACCCGCGGGGACGAGGTATGGGGGAGGGATAGGACCTACCCAGAAAAAGGAAAACACTTGTTTTGGAAGAGCTCGTTCTTGAAACCACATGCGCCTAGATAGGTTGGATGTGTGATGTGACAATGTTGAGAACAAGGGTGAGGTCACAACCATCTACACCCCATCCGCTAGGCATAATTAGTCTGAACTGCGGGGGCTTGTCCAGAGATCAGTACCTTTATCAACATGCAGTTCCCCTTCCAGAGTCTTCTGGACGGTATCCTCCAGCACCGCCGTTGCATTTGAGGCTTGGGGTTGCCTTCGCTTTCTCCTCCGCCTACGCCTCCTTCATCTCCGTCCACGCCTCTTGTCAGGTCTGCCTTTTTTGGGGGGGTGGGGGGATCGCAGTATCCCTATCAATGTTGCGGCCAGCTTCTGTTCTCTTGGCGAGGACTTCGTGGCGAACACTTCGGGAGTGGATTATTGCCGCTTTTTTGGCCCTCACTGGAAGAAGGTGACGCAGTGCGCAGCTCAGCGACAGGCAGCATGAGGTAGCAGCGAGAGAGAAGGGCTCGATGTCATAGGTCGTCGTGGCCAGCTTCTCTTGATGCCTGTACTTTTCATAGTTGGCGCTGTAGTGACCATCCGTCCCTTCTTCTCCTGTTCTTCGCGCCCCTTTCCCTTCGCCGTTTCTGTACGGCGCCCACGGGCCCACGGTGCCTCGCCGCAGCGGGACTCAGCGCCCATGCACACCGCAGCGGTGACGACAATCGTGTGATCACGCCGTGGTGTGAATCCACAGCGCCGCCCGCTGCCCTTGGCGGCGCCCTCTTCCTGAGAGCCAGCCCCCTCGATCCGCTCCGCCCCATTCCCCCTCTCTTCGCCTCTCCCCCATCTCCTTCCCGCCTCCCTCCCCCCCCCTCCCCTCCTGCCTTCTCATCCTCTGTCCTTCATGCCCCCCTTCGTTTCTTGTCCCCTGTCCTCTCCTTTCCTTCTCTCCCCTCTCCTATATCTCCCCTCTCGTCTCCTCTCCTCTCTTCCCCACTCCTCCATTGTTTCCCACTGCGATCCGACTCCCCTGCGCCACGGGTGTTTTCCAGCGTTCTCACATTCTGCGGCATGAGAACACGTCCAGCACAGTGGGATAGGTTCGAGGTGCGATCTTCATGCAATATCGCTTTGGTGCCGATGCCGACGTGTGTTGCGATGGGGGCTGTTCGAAAGGTGCTAGTCCACCAGCGGCGATGCGTAGTTACGGTAGAGTTCCTGGCATCGCCGTTCGACATATCAGCTGCCGTCCCATCCTGAACTTCCAGGGTACCTCCGAGATGAGACTTCGGGGCAAGGTCCGTTCTCCTCCTCATCCCGCCTGCTGGCGACCCCCCCCCCCCGACGGGGGACGGGGCACCGAGGTACGCGCGCTTCTTTGAGCAGCCGTTGGAAGCCATCGCTATCGAGGAGCGTGGGCACTATTAGGAGGTGGAGGATAGTGCTGATGTCGGTGACCATGGTTAGGAAGAGAACATTGGCGAGGATAGGGGATGACGATGGTGGCGGTGAGGAGTTCCAGGACGAGCGACCATACGGATTTCGACGATGAATATGCTTCGTAGGTGTGGATGATGCGGGTGGTGACGGTGATGAAGCTCATGCTGACGTGCTGATGCTGATGCTGACGATGGTGACGATGCTGATCATGGTGATGCTGATGCGGATGCTGCAGGTGATGATTAAAGGATGCTGATGCTGATGCTGGTGCTGCCGCTGGTGCTGCTGCTGATGCGGAGGTTGATGCTGCTGCTGCTGATGATGACGACGATGCTGACGATGCGGAGGCGGAGGATTACGAGGTTGACTATGATAAGACTGATGGATCAGGATGATGATGCTGATGATGCTGCTGATGATGATGCTGATTGTACTGCTGATGATGACGACGCTCCTGCTGATGATGAGGATGATGGTGGTGATGGTGATGGTGATGGTGATGACGAGAGTTAGTATGATGATGATGCTGGTGGTGGTAATGATGATACTACTAATGCTGATCATGATGATGCTGATTCTGCTGATGATGATGATGCTGATGCTGCTGCTGATGATGATGCTGCTGATGATGACGATGACGATGATGATGGTGATGATGGTGATGATGGTGGGTAATGGTGATGGGGATTACGACGGCGCGGAGGATGAGAAGGATGAGGAGAAGGAGGACGAGGAGGATCATACTGCTGCTGCTTATGGTGGTGCTGATGGTGATGATGAGGAGTATCAGGGGTCGCCCAGCGCCTTTCGCAGTGCCCCGCTCGCCATATGCACCCACATCAAGTGCTCGCCAGCAGTTCTTGACCTCTCCCCAGTGTCACTCGAAACGGCGGGCGGTCAGTGTCATGTCGGCCAGTTGGTCCGTCTTTCTCCCCTCGTCCCCGAGCTTCTCCTTCCACCCCTTGTCTGCCTTGCAATGCCAGGAGCCCCATGTCCTGCGAACGGGCCCCTCTTCCCGTGCGAACGCCATGCGTAACTGTGCACTTGACCGCTTCGCTAAGAGAGTGTATTCATACTTGATACATACGCATGTGAATGTACAAATACACATAGCAAACCACTTATACACACATATATATATATAACCTGTACATATACACCTGTTTAACCACATGTATACATGTATCCAGAGCGATCTGTAGGTACGTACACACATATAGATGTCTATGCCTGCTTACATATAGTTAGACGTGTGCATACATCGATATATATACATATATAACAGTTTGAATATTTAGAGAGCCATTCCCAGTGTTGGGATATTGAACAGAAGCATTAGCGGACCATGCAACGCTCAGCCCAGTGTCCTGATCTTGTTTCAGAGAGTTGCCATCGATATTTTGTGTGCGTGTGTGCTTCTGCAGGTGCAATGCACACGGTATTCACACACGGGAAAGGTAGCCCTGTGAGGATTTGTCGTGCAATATTCGACGTCTGCGTGAGTGCGTAAGTGGACGCCAGGATTTACGAACATTTCAAATTTGTTCAACTTCTAGGGCCTCTGGTCACCGTCTTGTGCAGTCTTGGCAGCCTCTTGGGCAGTCGTCAGGGCGTCTTCGGCCGTCCTGGGGCCCTCTGGGGCGGTCTTGACAACATCTTGGGTGAACTGTTGAACCCTGCTGGGCTGAGTTGGAGGCCATCTTGGGCCGTCTTGGGCTGTCTCGGACGCCATCTGAGGTCACCTTGGAGACCTCCTGAGTCGTCTTGGAGCCCTCTTGGGCTGAACGGGGCTATGTTGGGGATATGTTCGGCTGCCTGAAACCGTCGGGAGGCCTGAAAGTTGAGACCGCGAAGATCCTTTGAACAACTTGGGGGTCATCATTGACGTTGGCCTGTTCGGGCCCTCCTGGAGTGCCTTCTTGGAGCTCTCTTGAGCTGTCCTGGGGGCGGTCGTCTTGAGGCCGCCTTGGCCAGGATTGGGGCCATCGGGATTTCTCTTGGATTTTCTCGGGCCGTCTTGGAGGCCCTCTTGGAGGCCATCTGGGCCGTCTTGGAGGCGGGCGCTGTGCAGATGATGGGCGTTTTTTCTAGACTTTCTGGTTTTTCTGGTGCCCTCGAGACGTCGGGGGGATGCGCCGCGACCCATTGGAACCCTGCGGCAGGGTCAACGGGACATAACAGTGATGCTCTGGCACGCCACGCACCCCTCAAGCCAACGGGGGCGGTTGATCGAAGACGCCTACGGCGAATCACCACCGCCCCTTGCCTTTTGGAAACGCCCGTGCGGTCAAGCGTGGGGCCGAAATCTGGCCAACCTATTGGGCTCTCTGCTCCCCGAGCCGTTGTGGAACCCATCGGGGGCACACTTGGCAGAGGAAAAGGCGGGCGAAGGAGAGGGAGGGGTTTTGTGCTGGCGGGGCCAGAGGGTGCAGTGTGACTAGCAGCCAACGGCCTCGCGTCGAGGGGCGCGATAAAAGGGAACCACAGGCACCTCCCAAGATCTGGGAGGAGGGAGCCAGAGGGAGGACCGAGTGCCTCCGTCGGAAAAAGAAGTACCTGTCCCACTGAGGGAAAGGCGCCCCGAGGGTACTTATGACCCAGGGACGAGCAGATGAGACGAGACAGCTGGGGGGAACAAGCCTCGCTGCCTACCGCCAGTTTTTCATGCCGCGCCCGCCACTCAGGGCTCAGACAACGACACCCCCAATGCGGCCCCAAGCCAGCCGAGAGCGCCACTCCCCCGGCTGACTCCCACCCCCACGCACGCACCGGGCGGTGCACCCACCCCGTGGGAAGAACGGGTGGGGATCACCCGATGAGCCGCCCGCAGGCGACCCGCGTCCCCGCCCAAGCCCTGGCGGGGTACCAGGTGGGCCACCGCAAGGGGGACGCAACGTGGCGACGAGAATGCAATTTTCTTTCCCCCTGGCCCACTACGGGCAAACAGGGGCGACCATCAGGCTGCAACCCGCCTGTTTTTCTGGGACGCCCGAGGGCACCCAGTGGCACAGGTGCCTGGAGGAGAGGGGGGGAAGGATGACGAGGAGGAGGAGGACGTGGAGGAGGAGGAGGAGGAGGAGGAGAAGGAGGAGGAGGAGGACAAGGGAGATGAGGAGGTGAGCACGTGGTTGGAAAGCGCAGCATGTTATCTCCGCTCAGGCCCTACATCCTGCTGTAAGGATTGGGCTGGAATTCTGGATGTTTCACTGGCAATGCAGTCGCTGAGCCTCATAAGGGGGGGCCTGATACGTAGACTTGGCGAGGAACGCGATTCGGGATGCTTACACTGACAAGCCACATAAGTTGGATCCTTGAAACCTTCGCAGCGACTCTGGAGGGTCCTCGCATCATATTCGCTGTGCTAGCCGCAGCCCGTACAGACAGCCTTACAGCACAGGATTTTATCTGACGCGCAACATTAAGCTTGCGGCCATTGGAGTTGGCCGCTATCTTTGAGAGCTGTGACTGATGGCTGAGACACGCCTCATCCTTGCGAGACGAGTAATTTGGGTCAGAGCCCCTGGGCTAACATCAGTGCCCAGACGCATGTTGGACCTGTGGCTCCCTTCACAGCAATGCTGTGCTTTCGGGGGCTGAGGGGCCTTGGCTTCAGGAGGCCACCGCCCACCAAACAGCCCGAATCCAACCCAAAGGTCCCAATCTGCCCTCCATTCCCAGTGTGGGGGGGGCGCTTGGGAACATTGACACACCACACATGGAACCTATACCCTCCCAACCCGAAATTTGGGTCTTCGGGTTGGGTTCGGGCGGCCTGGTACGTAGTCAGGAGGGGGGGCAGCCTCATTGGGCCACACCATTCGTAACACTCCATCACGGATCGCGTAGTAAGCATAACGCTGATGTACTAGATTTGGTCGTAGTTCTTGGCCGAGCAAGCTGAAGAAAGAACATCCTGGATAATCAATGGTCCTCATCATCCATACCCACCACTTCCGGTCTGTAAGACTGAGCTTGCGCGAATCCCGTGTTCTGCCGATACCGATGACGGGTGTTTCCAGCACTGGTTTTTCGAAACATAGGACTGGCGATTATCCTGTCTGGCTGCGTGAGCGTCGGTTAATAAACCTACGTTCACTCCATCTAGCAAGGCAGAGCCTCAAGCGCGAACATGGGGCGCACGGGTAAGGCAACGATGCCAAAACCAATGCGTGCTCACTATTGCGACAGAGTTGCGATGTACTTGCCCTGGTGCGCGCATTGCTTGCATGCGGCAGTGGTGAGTAAGCTGCGCGGGCGCATTAGGCAAACTGCGCGCGCGTGTGTGCCTGTATTGAGGCGCGTTTCTTGCGCGCAAAGGCATTGGCGTCGCATGTGCTGGCGTGGTCCAGGCGCTAATGCGCATGCGAAATGTCGGGCCCGCGGCGTCGTCGCCAGCGCCGTCGGATGCGCATTCGAGAAAGTGTTCGCTCATCGGCTTGCCTGTTTCCTTTTCAACGTTTCTTGCTGTGTGCGCGTAGTCGATGCGCGCTCTCTGCGCGCACGCGCGTGTTGGGTTTAGTGGTGATTTTGGTATGGTCAGGGGATCTGAGGCGCGCAAACATGAGGCGCCGTGGCACGTGGCATGAGTCTGGGCAGTGGCTGGTGCCACATATTGCTGCCGCTCCTTAACGAGCCACACAAAATGCAAAAACGATACGTGTACCTTGTGTATGAAACTGGGCACGCTGTGATGCAACGCGTTTTGGAGATGAACGCCATCTGGCTGATGAGTCCCACCAGCCCTTGAGGGCGTATGTCGTCTAGAGAGGTTCCTCTTCCGAACCCCTTCTTCCCTTCCGGGAGGGGTTTACCCCTCCCCCTACCCCCTCCCCTGGACCTGGACGGGGGGGCGGGGGGCGCGAGGTGTCAGAGGGTACTTGTTCGCCCAAGACGGCTCCAAGAGCGCCTCAGGGAACCCAAGACGATCTCCAAGATGGCTCAAGATAGCCTGAAATGCTTCAAGATGGTTC